ATATATATATATATATATATATTGCAAGACAAAAAATTACATGTACGTAACTGCCACAAAGTCTGAGCAGCTAAGGATGAGTGGAGCAGGGAAGGTGGTGTGTGTAACAGGAGCATCCGGTTACATAGCTTCATGGCTGCTCAAGCTTTTGCTTCAACGTGGCTACACCGTCAAAGCCTCCGTTCGCGACCTCAGTTAATACTCTTTAAACTCTTTCTTCTTTAGCTTTTCTACGTATAATCTTCACTTTCAAATTCTGGGTTTTGGTTATTGTTTTCTGAAACAAAAAGATAGCAATAGGCACAATAAGTATGTGAGCGTTGTATCGCCAATGGCCTCTGTTCGATAGTTCATGACTCCCACTTTAGGACCCTACTAGGCCAATTTGTTATGCCAAGTTAGGGTGTGTGGTAGTATGAGTGAAAACCGGGTCCATCATTTTGGTAGAATTGAGTTACGTACTTTCTGTTATGTTGGTGGCCTCTGACATTTTCAAAGTAACAAAGTACGTGTGGGACGTATTACGGGCGATAAAGTGTTTTTTTTTTTTTAATCCTACATGGGTTATCATGTATATATGTGTGGTTGTGATGATTATGTATGACACAGACGATCCGAAGAAAACAGAGCACTTGGTGTCACTTGAGGGAGCAAAGGAAAGGCTTCATTTGTATAAAGCAAATTTATTGGAAGAAGGATCCTTTGATTCTGTTGTTGATGGCTGTGAATGTGTTTTCCATACAGCTTCCCCTGTTAATCTCTCACCCACTGACCCACAGGTTAGTCCCTGATTCAATTCATAATTGGATAACATGTACCATTGAGAAATGGTACAATTTAGTTTATCTTTATTTAAAAAGCTACTTTGGGAAATGGTACAATTTGGTATCTCCCTTTTATTGAGAATAAATGTCAACTTTCATGGAAACTTATACGCGAGCTTCGATTTTTATCGCTTTTCTCGCTGTATTTCAGGCAGAACTGATTGAGCCTGCAGTGAAGGGAACACTAAATGTCCTGAGGTCATGCACAAAGGCCCCTTCACTAAAGAAGGTTGTTTTACCATCTTCCATGGCTGCTGTTTTGCTTAGCGGGAAACCATTGATCCCAGATGTTGTTGTTGACGAGACATGGTTTTCTGATCCAGATATCTGTGAGAAAACAAAGGTGTGTACATCATCTTGCACAAGTTTCCAATGTATTGGAAACTTCTTAGTTATTTGTCAGTGTTGAGTTCACTATATGGTAATTTGGATAACATTGCACCAATTTTCTTGCTTACAGATTTGGCCGTATGTTATCTCAAAGACATTAGCAGAGGAGGCTGCTTGGAAGTTTGCAAAAGAAAATGGGATTGATTTGGTTGTAATAAATCCAGGAATGGCTATTGGCCCTTTGTTACAGCCAACTCTTAATTTCGGTACGGAGACGATTCTAACTCAAATTAACGGTACATCTTCAGTACCTCCTCCTTTTAATATTTATGACCAAGTTTAAGATATAAAGAACCGACGTAGTTTGTTTCAAAGTGACTAAACTAATTCTATAGTAAAAAAAATAAAAATAAAAAAAATCATAATAACTAAGCTCCAAATTAGATAGAGTGAAGTGGAAATTGCTTCCCTTTCTGCAATAACTTTCCATTTTCACTGTTTTTTCAACAACTATAGAAACTGGTGTCAATACAGGACAATTTATCTATGCATGTAATTTTTTTTTTTTTTTTTGGGGGCAGCTCACCCATTCCCAAATGAAATCTCTATGATTGTTGATATTAGAGATGTTGGAATGGCACATATTCAAGCATTTGAAGTCGTTTCAGCTAGTGGAAGATATTGTTTAGTTGGACATGTTTTGCACATTTCTGAGGTTCTTAACATTTTAAGACAAATCTTCCCCACCCTAAGCATTCCTGAAAAGTAAGTAACCAACTTTTGAGTTATTAAAGAAAAGCCAAGTTTCGGATTAATTGGCAAGAGAAGCACGAACGGGATTCTAACTTTTACTATTTTAGCTTGGATATTATATCTTTAAAAAGTGAAGTTTACTAATCATATATAAAAATTACATTTGAGCTTTCTCATTGTTGGCAAGCAGATGTGAAGATGACAAACCTCTCATGCCAACCTACCAAATTTCGAAGGAGAAAGCAAAAGGTTTGGCAATTAATTTCACCCCTTTGGAAGTGAGTCTGAGGGACACTGTTGAAAGCCTCAAGGAGAAGGGTTTTCTCAGCTTTTAATTTATGCCCTTGACGGAAAATTTGGTAAATAAGTTATACCATATGTAATCTTCCCAATAAAAAACAAGAGTTACATCTTATGTAAAATTTGTTAAACTTTGGGCATGTTTTTTTCTCAACTTGAGTTGAGAACTTGAGTTGTAAAATAAATTTTATGTGGAAGAAAATAATATACCAAAAGAATAGAATTTAAATTTTTGTGAAAGAAAATACTGTAGTAAAAAGTTTGAGTTGTGATTCAAATTGTTAAGAGAACACATTTGTTTGTTGTGTTAGAACATGATATTCAAATCTGCTTACCGCTAATTAGTTATGAGGAGGTTATTTACAAACAAATGAAGTATCTTTGAGTTCAAATATTTGTGAGTGTTCAAGCATTTTTGTTAGTTTGATCTGTTTTTGTAGGTATCATTAATAAATAGGAAATTAAATGAAAATGAGGAAAAAAATTTGGAGTTTTGAAAGCTATCGGGATGAGTCACGGACGAGGACAAGGACCCACGCAAACCTCCGAGTGAAATGGGGCAAAAAACGCCTAAGAGCAGCCCTAGGCAAGGGCTGGTGTAAGCCTAGCAACATGACAGGCGCTGCAGCACGCACTGCGCGCCCTTCCTTGTGTTGAAACGAGTATTTTGGGCCTTTTTGGACCTTGATCAATGTTGGGCGGCCATTTTTTACCCTTGGATGAGTGTGGCTAAGATTTTCTTCATGTTTAAGTATACTTATACAAAGGAAACCCTAGTTCCCAACTTAGAGAGGATGAGAGGCACAAAAATTCATAGAGAGTGAAGGTTAGAGTTGGAGATTCTTGAAGAATGCTTGGGAGAGATTCTTGATAATTTGAAGACTTGAAGTTCATTTCCACAAGAGTTTTCTCTTCTTTCTCCCTTTTCTTTATAGTTTTTTAGTTTTTGCTCTTGAATTTGAGATTTTAGTTATGGGTTCCTCTATGTTGAGCTAGATTTCTTATTCTAGGGTTTAATGTAGCTTTATTTTAACCATGTTTTTATTATCTTGTCAATTGTTAGTTAAATTCCATTTTAATTTATTTATGTTTCTGTATGCTTAATATTTCTACTTTATGTAGCCAATGAGTTAGATAATTTTGGATTGTGATTTTGATACTCGGGGGAGATTGATTTTATAGTCTAGAATTATGAAACATTGTCTAGGTTGTTGTGAGTCCGAGAAGAGATCAATACTTTGATAATCTCGTTGAGAGTCTAGGATATTGTTAGGAAACGTGAGTTTCCTATATTGTGGGCCACATATTTATTTAATAATTATATTAAGCTATTTAATTATTTGGGCTAATTTAAGTGATCTAATTATGGAAAGCCTAACTAGTTTCCTAACAGGGTATGGGCACCGGATACCCATATTGACCTAATTAGGTTTAATGAGAGCCTAATGGGGCAATATATAAAGGCCTCATTCATTTTACTGATTCGAGTTTTCAGTTTTAGGTTTCTACAGTAAAAAGCTCTCAAAAAATGTCACATCTAACTTTTTCTGCTACAGTGAAAAGCTCTCAGAAAATGTCACATCTCAGCTCGAATTGAAAACTCGAATCCGCGAAGTGAACGAGGCCAAAGAAACTTAGGTTATGGTTCCCAATACGTCAAATCATACGGCAGTTTTCATTCTTCCCCATCTAGAGAGAAAACACCCCATTAAGGAACTAAGGAGATTTGACTGAGGAAGGCAATAACTGTCGTGCTCGTTATCTTAGAGAATTCTACTTGAGATTAAGGCTGCACTAATAGAGACAGGTACTTGTTCTAACTTTTTTTCTTAGTAATTTCGTGCAATGATTCCTGGAATGTGGAACTAAGATTGAAAGATCCAACAAGTGGTATCAGAGCGGTCATCACATTAAATTATTGAGAGAATTTTTATCTCCAATATCTCTAGCTGAATATCATGTTGATTGATTCACATGATTTTTCTTTTCTTTATGGAATTTTAGATATGCTTTATTTTGTTAAGAAAAGCATGTATATAGATAATCATATGAATTTTTGGTGATTGATTTTGATCAATATTTGTTGAATAATTTTCGGAATTATTTATTGTTCACAAAGTTGATAGTTTGGAAAATTGAGAATTAAGAAAATTTGGTAAAAGAATTAATTGAAAGAAAGTTTTTTTTTTCTTCTTCTGGAAAACTTTTTTTCCTTTCTTCGTTGTCTTCTCTTTTCGGAGAAGGAGTATGGCCGGTGGCAGCCTTAGCCGCCAGCGCTGCGGAATCAAGGGCGCGGCCGTTGGGGTAGCCGCGGCGGGATGTAGACAGCGGCGGCCAAGGCCGCTGCATAAGGAAAAGTTAAAAAAAATTCCTATTGTTGGCGGTAAGCTTACCGCTGCCGGCGTCTGGATTCCCAAGCGCAGCCGTTGGGCTGCGCCGGACAGCTATTGCCGCGGCCGGCCGGCCATGACATGAGGACTAGCGGCTGCCAGTGGGGAAGAAGGGTCGCGACAAGCTTACAGCCGCCGGCGTCTGATTCCCAGGCGCAGTCGTTGGGCTACGCCGGACAGCTATTGCCGCGGCCAGCTGGCTGCACCATGAGGACTGGCGGCCTAGTGGCCGCCAGTGGGGAAGAAGGGTCGTGACACTGTCACGACCCTAGGGCAGAACAACTCTAGGCTTCGGCCCAGAGCTGCAAACAAAAAACAAACACAGGCCAGTTCAGGCCCGTGACAGAGAAGAAAAGCACAGGCCCAAAGGCCTGTGCATTAGAACTAAAGGGCCACAGGTTATTACCTGTGGCCATAAGGAATATAATTGCTAATTTTTGGCAATTATTGGTTTGTTTTGAACCCAATTTTAGAGATTTTGGGCATTTTTTTTAACCCATTAAGAAATTGAGTGTAAATAAATTAAGGATTCAATTGAATAAAATGAAATTCTGGTTCTTTATTTTATTTTATTTGATTATTGCACTTAATTGTCTTGTATTTTGAAATAAATTGATTGAAATAATATTGTTGCCAAAATAACTTCTGTTGTAGATGTTGATTTATTTTAAAATATAAAGGTGAGTATGCCTATTATTTATGCGAATAATGATCGGCCCAAAGGAAGGTTATTATTTGGCCGAATAATGGGTATACCTGTGGTAATAAATATGTGACAATTATTAAGCTCTCCATGTGAGCAATAGTCGGCCCAAAGGAAGGCTATTGTTTGACAGGATTTATTGTCAATATTTGATTACTGCGCAGAGAGTACCACTTATAAGCTGATATTTTTGGTCTAAAGACTAAATATTAGTGTTGTGCTAGGTATCTTGAAATGGGCCCACCACCTTGCTTCGAGTTATTTGTTTATGTCATGTATGCATTATATGGTTGATTATGCTTACGTATGACGTGAATGTTGATTGTGAGTATATTTTATTTTTATTCTCTATTTAGTTTCTGCTACTGCTGTGAATGTTTCTGCTCAACTTAACGCAATCCTAATGCTGAATGGGACAAATTTTAAAGTTTGGAAAGAGAATGTGGAAATCGTTCTCGGATGTATGGACTTAGACGTTGTGCTCAGGACAGAGCGTCCCACTGCTACTACGGAAAATCCGAACATAGATAAAATTGAGAAGTGGGACCACTCTAACCGCATGAGTCTAATAATCATGAAACGCTCCATTCCGGAGGCGTTTCGGGGCTCTATTACTGAGAGCACTAATGCCAAGAAGTTTCTCAAAGAACTTGAGCAATATTTTACCAAGAATGAAAGGTCAGAAACGAGTAACCTTCTGAATCATGAGGTATAAGGCAAAAGGGAACATAAGGGAGTACATTATGGAGATGTCTAACATTGCTGGGAAACTAAAGGCACTAAAGTTAAAGCTGTCTGAGGATTAGCTCGTGCATTTAGTTCTCATATCTCTTCCTGCACAATACAGTCAATTTAAGGTGGGCTATAACATCCAAAAGGAAAAATGGACTGTTAATGAGCTTATATCATATTGTGTGCAAGAAGAGGAAACGCTTCAGCGGGATAAGACTGAAAGTGCTCACTTGGCATCAACCTCTCAGAATAAGAACAAAATGAGATCTATGGATACTGTAGATGGAACACCTCAACAGAAGAAGAGACTGAAGAAGCAGGATAAGGCATTCACCTGTTACTTCTGCAAGAAGGGAAAGACTCTCATTATGGTTTGTTCTGAAGTTAATTTAGCTTCTGTACCTAAAGATACTTGGTGGGTAGATTCTAGTGCTACTACTCACATTAGTATGTCCATGCACGGTTGCCTGTGGAGCCGACCGCCAAGTGATGTTGAAAGATTCATCTTTCTGGGCGATGGCAAGAAGGTTCCACTAGTGCACGAGGTACAAAGCGAAAATTAAATGAGAATTTTGCCACCCTATGGCACAAGCATTTAGGTAATATCTCTAAACAGAGAATACAGAGGCTTGTGAGTGATGGAATTCTTGGTCTCCTAGATTTGACAGACTTTCAAGTCTGCGTTGAGTGCATCAAGGGGAAATAGACAAACACAAGGAAATTAGGTGCCGATAGGGCTACATACGTCTTAGAACTCATTCATACAGATATATGTGGACCATTCCCTACGGCTTCATGGAATGGTCAACAATACTTCATTACATTTATAGACGATTATTCAAGATACGGTTACCTATACCTAATACATTAGAAGTCATAGTTAGTGGACGTTTTCAAGGAATTCAAAGCCAAAGTTGAACTTCAACTAGGCAAGAAAATTAAGGCCGTCAAATCAGATCGTGGTGGCAAATACTACGGCAGATATGATGGATCAGGTGAACAACGTCCAAGACCATTCACTATCTTCCTAAAAGAATGTGGAATCGTCCCTCAATACACAATGTCGGGCAAACCTAGCACGAATGGTGTTGCTGAGAGATGAAATAGAACTCTTAAAGACATGGTGAGAAGCATGATTAGTCATTCTTCCTTACCTGAATCACTTTGGGGATAAGCACTAAAGACTGCAGTTTACATCCTTAACAGGGTTCCAAGC